TCGCTGAACTTACCAAAACAAATTTAAGTTCCTATAATTAGTTCTAAAGGTTTTGAAATCAATAAAACGAAAACGGTGCCCAAATTTATACACCTAACTAATTTTGTTTAAACAATTATTGCACACTTTCTGTAAATCATATAAACTTCATTTCACTTCTCAAATATCACTGTGTTTGTCCCCTATATGATATATTTAACTAATGTTTTTATCCAATCAGTGATTTATAAAGGTAAATCAGGAAAAGGGTTCACAAACTTTCACACCCCACTGTATCAGGGTCCTTCTTGTAAAGCCAACTTCCAGTTTCCGTCAGTGAGGCTGGCACTCTGTCTACTTTTCAGACTTGACTCCATCCATCACTGGCTGCTTGTTTCAGATTCGAGTCACAGGAGCTTGAGCAGAGAGTCTGCTCATCTTTGTCCACAGCCACTTCTTCCAACTTAGCCAGGAGGATTCCAAGGTGTTCCTGATCCAACTGTCTCTCCAAGTGTCCTGGGTCTTTGTCCAAGGGCCATCCTTACCAGATGCCTAAACCAGCTCAACCGGTCCTCTGGATGTGGAGGAGCAGAACTTCTCATCTGATCTAACTTTTAGCACTGCTGCCTTGCAGTTACAGGCTCAACGGTCAGCTGGGTCTTTATATGTGGAGTTTGTGTGTTCTCGTCAAGTATTTGTGGTTTATTTCTGACTACTCTAGTGTTCTCACACAGACAAAGCATTACTACAGCTAATATAATTGTATTTTCTAACTTATGAATATCAGTACATAGCTAATGGTTTATAGTTGTAAGCTGTTCAGGAGTGTTTATAGTTTATATAACCAAGAACAGTATGGTCAAAAACAAAAAACCTTTGCTTATTAGTTTTATAACAACTAAAGAGGTTGTATGAAGAAGGAAAATATCCTGCTCTCACAGTCAGTGTCAGTTCTCACCTTGCTTTCTGGAGGTGGAGTTGTTTTGTTTATTCTCCTTATAAACCAGGTTCCAGAGCGTTGGAGCAGTTATTTCTGCAGAGACACAAACACAATCAGTTTTCACACATTAAGGAGATCACAAGTTTAGGAACTTTTCATTAGCTAGATCAGTGGTTCCCAATCGATTTTCCTCAAAGCCCCCTTCCTTACTTCCAAGCAAAGCTGAGCCCACCCACTCTCTCACTACTCCCCACCTGTCCCACAGTCGAGGTCAACCTTTATTTCATTATCAAGATAACGAAAAAAATAAATGAAGAGTTACACACATTTTTTGGAAAAAAAAAGAACTGATTTATACAGAGTTTGATTATTCAAATGAACATGTTTTGGTGATTTTTATATACAAACAATAAATTGATATTTTTACAACCTCTGAGCAGACAAAGTCAGCTGTGCCATCAAGTCTTACAGAGACCCACAAATGGCACTACCTAACCTCCTGTACTACTACTGGGCAACTAATAAACACCTGAATAATTGGGTACAGCATGAAGAGAATGAATACCCCTGTAGGGGTCACCTCGAGTGAAATAATCAAGGAAACCGTCTTGGACCTCAAACCTCTGATGGACCTTTAAAGGGACAAAAACTCTGTGATGGACTTGCAACCTGTCCAGGGTGTACCCTGCCCCTCGCACTGTGACTGCTGGATATGGGCACCAGTGACCCACGCAACCCTGAAAAGGAAGAAGCGTGTACAGAAAATGGATGGATGGAAAACTCTGTTCCACTCAGAACTGAATCTAGACCACCCCAGGTCGCCTTAACTTCTCAAAGAGACATTCTCTTTTTCTTAATCAGATAATAAACAGAAGAATCTTCGTCTTATTTGATTCATTGTTCTCTTAACTGAAAGTTATTACTAATTTTAATAATCAAAGAATGTTTATCAAAGTTAGAGAAGAAAAGAGGGCAGATGTCTTTTCTCCCACAGTATGATTTCAGCTATGTATGGTTTTTTGTGTGTAAAAATCTTATTTAACTAAACTAATCTTCATGGTTTAAAAGTTGATGAAACATCATRRATCCATCCATCTTCTGTACACGCTTCTTCCTTTTCAGGGTTGCGTGGGTCACTGGTGCCCATATCCAGCAGTCACAGTGTGAGGGGCGGGGTACACCCTGGACAGGTCACAAATCCATCACAGAGACACACGAGACAAACAACCATTCACTCTCTCACTCACACCTAGGGACAATTTAGAGTTATCAATTAACCTAACAGTCATGTTTTTGGTCTGTGG